AAGTAGACTATCACTCACCCACACCAGATGGAAAACTCTACAGACTATATGTATATAAAGTCGAACAGAGCTGCTCGGTAAACCGTAGGCAGAGAGGGAGAAGACTCTATGTTGCCGGGTGAACGAGAAGAACGCGCGTTCGCGTACAAACGCGAGCATTCATTTCTCCCACGCGCGCGTTCGAACGCGTTTAAACGCGCCCCGTGGCGACGCGCCGGCAGGGCACGCAGGGTGGGGGCTTCGGGGGGGTGCACTCCGTTTGTGCGGTTTGGGGGGTGGGGGGATGTTGGTGGTGTGGAGTTGAGTGTTGGTGGTGTGGGGTTGAGGCTGAACGTGTGGAGTTGAGGGTTGGGGGTGTGGGGTTGAGGGTTGGGGTGTGGGGTTGAGGGTTGTGTGATGGGGTTGAGTGTTGGGGGTCTCGGGTTTAGGGTTGGGGTGTTGGTGGTGTGGGGTTGAGTGTTGGTGGTGTGAGGTTGAGGGTTGGTGTGTGGGGTTGAGGCTGAACGTGTGGAGTTGAGGGTTGGGGGTGTGGGGTTTGAGGGTTGGGGTGTGGGGTTGAGGGTTGTGTGATGGTTGAGTGTTGGGGGTCTTGGGTTTAGGGTTGGGGTGTGGGGTTGAGGTTGGGGGTCTGGGGTCGAGGGTTGGGGTGTGGGGTTGAGGGTTGGGGGGGTGGTGTCGAGGGTTGGGGTGTGGGGTTGAGAGTTGCGTTGTGGGGTTGAGGGTTGGGGTCTGCGGTCTAGGGTTGGGGGTGTGGAGTTCAGGGTCGCCCCCAAAACTCACTGGCTCTTGTGAACACCCTAGGACACGCTGCGAACAAAAAAAACGCTCAGACCCCACCGTCTTCATTACTTGGGAATTGAGGGCCCCCAGTTTCCAACTGGCGAAGACGCGAGGGTCAGAGCGTTTTTTTGTTTTGTTTTGTTTTGTTTTTTTTCAAATGCATCCAATGTTACATACCAATGCATTCATCCATGTTATCGTGTTTCCATCAATGACGGCATACATTCATGACTCGTGATTATACTAACATTTCAGATACACAATCAGCACTGATCTCAAAAGAGGAGAATGTCCTGCATGTTTACATGAAGAACGCGAAGAGGAGGAAAGATACCAAAAGAAATGCACACACGCACACGCACACACGCGCCCCGTACTACCGGTGCTGTCAAACAACGTAAAAATCTACATCCACAAAATCAGAAAGAAAGTGAGACCTACACTACGATACTACACTGCTATGGTACACTGCAAGTGAGACCTACACGACAATACTACACTGCTATGCTACACTGAAACAAGTATTGAGGTAGTCAACGGTAAACTGAAGCAGTCCGAAAGCAAAAACCGATTCCACATGGTATGCAATCTGGAAAAACCCCTCCCTCGGCAACCAGGGTGTCCCAACCTCCAAGAAAAACAAAACCAGCAATCACTGTTCTCAAATGGGGGCATCCTCACTGTCGGCATCGCTCTGGCCTCCGCAGTCGGCGATGGTGTTGCCGCCGCCCTCGTCGTTGCTCTCGTCGTTGCTCTCGTCGTCAGTGTCGACGTCACTTCCCTCATCGGTGCTCTCCTCTATGCTCTCCCATCCCTCCGTGTCGGCGGTGTCACTCTCAGTACTGCTATCGTCATCGGCCTCGTCCTTGCTTGCCTCTGCATCCGTGGCCTCTGGTGGGGTGCTCGGTCATCGCACCCGCGCAGCCTGTGCTCGCCGCTGTCGTGTGCCGAGGCGTGCGGCTGCGCAGTTGCTGCTATCGTCGTGCAAAATCACCTGTCCTCCTTTCCTTGCTTCTACTTGCGATGTTGTAGTAAGGTCCGATATGCAACGGGTGCCAGGCCTCATGGGCAGGCCCTCAACCCCGGACGGGTGCCAGGCTCCAACCAGACCGCCTCGGGCACCAACTCTCTGCACACAATCCCTCAATACCTGTGACGCCTCGACCTCACACTGTATCTCGGTGCCAGTGGCTCATCTGAGTGGTAGTCATGAGCAGTGTGGGGGGTCACGGGGCCGTCAACGTCAGCGGAAGTGACACGTCACTCGAACCCCGATGCGGCGACGGCGACGTGCGATGGTGATGGTCGCTGTCGTGGCAAGCCAGGCTGAAGACGAGTGGAGGCCGCCGTGACCCGCCTGCACGAGCTCCAAGGCCGGTCTGTGCGGCCGAATAGTGCTGTATCCTGTACCGTCGCTTTGTGTCTCTCCGGAGATGGCCCGATGTCGGAATGCTCTTCCAGCTCACACGACGGCCGGCCACGCTGTCAGGGTACCGGGAACAACAGTCCCTCCTTCCTTCGCTGGATGAGAAGCTCTTGATGGTGCTGTGGAGCTGGCAGGGCCCCATGAGCCCGAAGCAACAGTCAGCAAAAATCTCGGAGCAGGAGGTCGTTAAATGTGTGTGTCTATCTCCGTGAGGTCCATGTCGAAACACCCCGCCAACTCATCGCCCATCGTTGCTCCCCATGGCATGGATCTCCGCGGTTGTGGCATGACCCTCGACGGAATTCTCTGTGTGGAAGGGCGAAGCGGGGGACCCATCATCACGCCCTCGTCATCAGCTGCTGCCAGCGCTGCCACACAACCTGTGTTGATGTCTACGGAACCATCAACCTCAATAGTGGCCACCTCCTTCGCTCGACCTAGAACTGCATGGGCGGATGCGGCCATCGGGACAACACGTAAATGAACGTCCTCATGTGCCTGCCCTGCACCGGTAGCGGTGTCATATGGCAGCCGACCCTCAGATCCCAGGTCTTTGTCGTGGCTGCTTCCTTTGTCCCTTCGCTCATGGGGCAGCCCAATGGACCATCAACGCCTCGACAGGCCCGTCAGTATGTCCTCTAGTTCGGGACAAGTCTGCGGATCTGTTGGTGGGCCGATGTCACCCTCGTGTAACGCCACCTCCCTCTCCATCTCTGCGGTGATCGACCGATCGCCCCCTGACTCTGGATCCACGGCCTGCGCACCGACCAACTTGTCACGCGTGTGAGCCCCAGTCTCTAGATCGCGCTTTTGCGCCTTGCGTGAGAGCTCCTATGTGATTTGGCAGGCGCACGCAAGAAATTGCGCTCGCCTGTTGTCCAACCTGTCCTACCTCTGCGAAGCCATCTCTCCCGAGGGAGTCGTGTCGTCATCGACCATCGCTCCGTCCCTTACTCCCTCCATGCCATAAGAAGGGAAATTGCCAAGCTCCCTGTGCATGCCAGGTGTGAAACCGCCTAGCATGACCTCGTCGATCTGGCCCAAGATATCGTCCATGGCTGCGGATGTGACGCCCCGAGAAGGAGTCTCACCAGAAAGCGCCCCCAAACCAACAAAATCATTGAAAGGGCATGGTGAATCATGAACACCATCCACATTGTTGCCGCGTGTCCCCC